AAAAAAAAAAAAAAAAAAAAGAATGGAAATGAAATGGCCAAACTATAGAAAAGAATAGTGCTCTGAGGAAAAATGAAAAAGTCCAAGAAAAGAAAATTTAAAAAAAAGAGAGAGAGAGAGAATGGTTATGGGATTCATTTTGAGATTATTTAGGACTGATGAGCAGATCAAAGTAAACCAACTGGGTTGCTTCAGCTTCTTCTGGAAAAAGAACACACATGATTAGGAAGAGTACAGGAAAGATCACTCTGGTACCCTGCTGTGAAAGAAGTCACATCACTGAGTTCTGAAGTCCAAATATCAATGTAATTATCCTTTCACCTTTTGGACTAAAGTATGAAGTAAAAAGTAAATGACTTCTAAAAGTTAAAATGTCTTATTTAAGTGTTTGAAGCATTAGAAATGAAATTTTCTAAACCTTTTTCAGAGGATAGCATATCTACTAAGACTCAAAAGCTAAGCCATAATCATGAGCTAAATTTACCTAATTTTACATATAATTTGAATATTGGTTGTTTCAGATAATTCAAAATCATTCCCCCAAGTCACCAACAATATTGGTTTTCTCAAAAAGGCTTTCTTACCTCGTAGAAGAAGGGATGTCCAGCCATATCAAAGATGTTAACTTTGATTTCTCTGTCTCTGACTTGTACCCTGAAATGTTCAAATGCAAACAATCCCAAAAAAGGTCATGGTTTCTGCATTCACATTAATATCATTCATATCACTTATGAATTTCAAAAGGGTATGTGAGTGCAATTTAAAAGAGGCTTTCTTAGTGCCTTTTCTTAATCTCAGGCAATCTTCACTACAGCAGCCAGCAACTTGGCAGATGATCCTGCTTCCTTATTTCAAGAACACAGAACCCACCTGGAGAAGGCACCCTCATTTGCTCTCACCTTCACTTGGAGATACTTCACACCACAGCCCTCAACCAACAAATGGTAGCTATAGGAAAAACTGATTTGAAATGAGTAGGAGCAAGACAAAGGAAAACAGAGTTTTATTTCATTTAGTCAGAGACATCTCAATTACTACTGGTTATGCTTGGTTACCAAGCAGTAGAATAACTTAGGTTAATGATGTCTGAAATGTCTTGTGATCTGTATTTGAGCAAGAGCAATAGTCCATTTGTTTTCAGAAGTCTGAAAATGAAAAAGGAACAGAATGGAATGCAACTATGCATATGAGAATTAGCCACTGTTAACATCATAGCGTATTTGTTTCTAATCTATTTTTAAAGAAAAATCACCACTGGAAAATAATTAATGAACATTACAAATAATTCAAACACTAAAAAAAACAAAAAGAGAAAGGTTTAAAAGTTATTCCAAACCCTTACCGAATAAACCCTTCATAAATATAGATGAGCATCACTGCAGACTTCTTCCCATGCACAGACTGCTAAACAAACACTCTTATAAAAAGGGTATTATACTATTTTAAAATAAAAAGTATGAAATTGACTTTTTAAATTGAATTTAACAAAAGAAAAAAACTGAAGTGAACTGGGATGAATTACTGAACTTTAAATATAAATGTTTCTTCAATACAAGAAGTATTTTCTAACAATCCATCTAAGGTTAAGAATAGAGATTATTAACAATAAATTAACAGATGAGAATCATGTTTTTTAAGTAACATGTTTCCGTTTTAGACAGCACTGATATGACTCCCTGCTGGGGAGTACGCGCACATCAGCACTTGTTCTATCTCCCTGTCCTTATACTGCCTTTGGTTTACTTATTATTATTCCCTTTTTACAGTATTCATTTCCTGTTCTGAAACCATAATTATTACAGATGTTTTATATTACTTGTATATTTAAGTCAAGCTAAATATATGATTTCTTCACCGTTGAGTTCCCATCAATTCTAAGATGCGTATTTGTTTTCATTTTAACATCTGTGAAATCGTATAGAGTATGAGGAAAGCAAAATAAAATAAAATAATAACATGTTGAACTCAAGAACATGTGGAGAGGATCTGTTATAATAATTAAACTAAAAAAAATTTACCTTAAAAAGATAGCTGATAGAACCGAGAAAGTCTATAAAGTCAGGAAATAACACATATGTTTACACACTGAAACCCAAAAGTTAATTTAATGCAGAAGCCACACAGAGGAAATTAAAGAAAAATGGTAATTTCTTATTTCAACTCAGTGCTTTCCTAAGCGTGGTCTTAAGGATCATCTACAATCTATATCATGATTATTGGTAGGGGTGTTGCTAAAAACGCAGATTCCTGTGCCCCATCTCAGACCTAGTGAATCAGAAGATTAGTGGGCGGGGATAGCAATCTGCATTTTTACGGACAGTACGAGTAATTTTAAGCACACTGAAATTTGAGGTTTACCATATTTAAAGCAGAAAGAGAAGAATGAATATCTGTTGTTTCAACCACCTAAAACAGCACCCCTACTCCTTCCTTCTCTTATTGTGGTTCATAGGGGTTCTGCCATCTCCTGATTCCACTCTTTAGCCACAGATAACTAAGCGGAGAAAAGTCACCTGTCCCTACTTGTGCTAATAAGACTTTCCCAGGGATTTTTTAATGTGGGATATTAGTTTTAGTCCGTCTCTAGAAGTAAAATGAAAAGTGTGAGCATCAGAGGTGCTGGCAGCTGCATAGCTGCATAGAAGCTCACTTGGAAGATTGAAGCCAACCAGTGCAGAGAGAGATGCAGTTAAGTGAAATGACTCTATATCGTCCTGCTTCCAGCCATTTCTGATGTGTCATCCTTATAACTGGATTATGTAAATTGATTAATATCTTTTTTCTTTTCTTTCGCTTAAGTTTGAAATAGGTTTCAGTCAATTATATTTTCCTGACTTATCATGGGACAACCATCTTTTCCAAAAAATTTTTGCCAGAAACAGAATATTCTGTCAAATAAACCACAGTCCTATGGCATAAAATAGTAGCTCTTATTTTTTAATAAACTAGCTACTTACATGACTTCAAAACAAAACTGCCTTAAATAGAATATCCTACCATAACACTGATGAAATCCTGTGCCTTAAGTAGCAAAGAGAAAAGGAAAACTAGAAAGAAATGTAGATTTCAAATAAGGAGCTTCATATATTTCATTGCTGAGAGCTAAAATTTTCATTCTTCAAAGAAAACTTGCAGAAATAACAGTTGAAAAATGGTGCTACAATAGTATTAATACAATGCAATAGTATTACATAGAACTCCCCTTGAATTTTACTTTACCATTTACTTGAGCCCCACTAGTTACAATCATGAAAGATACACCTGAACTTGACTCTGCCCTTCACATAATCAACATTCTGCTAGATATGCCCTACTATTTCTGTTTACCTTCCTGAATATTATCCTCATATTCTGATCTGGAAGACTTGCTCTTAGATGTATTTATAGATATTTATTGAGTACCTATTAGACAGAAACACCATGCCAGGCACTTTGAGAAAATTCATGTTAATAGAGTTTATGATCTAGCAGGAGACATCAAACATATACAAATAGTAATTACAACTAAGGCAATTTATGATAAGTACCGTAAATAGCATCGTGAACTTTAACATTTCTGTCACTGCAACCAAAATGAGTCCTGACTAATAGAGGAAGAGTTCAGAGGCCTTATGGGAACAGCAGAATTCTAGACCTTGAAGAGACAGGCAGGTAGAGAAATGAGGGAAAGCACATTCCAAGTGGAAAGAATGAATAATGGCACTGAGAGGAAAGTATGAGGGCAGCAGTTCAGTGTGGATGGAGAGTAAAGTATGTAATAAGAGAAAAGGGGGAGGGCCAGAGCGAGACCTGAAGAGCAAGCACCTGAAATTCCACCTTTAGGGAATATGCTGCCTACCCTAATCCTACCCTGCAATCATATCCTATCTCCCAAGCTCCACCCACTCTTGATTCACCTCCAAATAAATCCCCAATTAGACCAACTTTACTCTTCCCAGATCATTTCTGCTGGATTCCCTTAGGCTATAAAGATCACAAGCCAATAAAGGAAGTTCTCTAGGAGAAAATTTTCTACATATGTATGTAGACTTTTGGCTCTAAAAACACACCTGCTGGTAAGATCTACTTATATAGAAACACATTTCCTGAACAGCTACACCTGCCAGTTAGGCTTTCTGTTGACATATTCATTGTTGTAGATTCCACACCTAACACAAGGTCTTGTGAATGGAATGTCCTCAATACACAGGCTGAATGAAGGAAGGATGTAATCACTACATATCTGTAAGGGTCTCAATCCTACCTTTCCCAATTTATCTTCAAAGTCTCTATTTTAAGATTACCTGCATAAGTGCATTGATGCGAATATAGATCATTTTAGAAAGAGTTCTGAACTTCTGTATAATTTACAAGCCCAGGGAAACAAGATACTCACTTTGTGACTCCATAGTCAATTCCAATTGTTGCCAAGTATTTAGACACAAATCTCTTCTCACAGTATCGCTTTATAATACAGCTCTAAAAAGGTAAAATATAGGTATTTAGTAAATATACACTGGGAACACAAAATTTGTATATTTCTTCATTATGATTTTTTCATTCATCTCTATGAAAAAGTACTTTGAAAAGCCAAAAACTATAAAAGAACTGAAACAAGTGCTAAAAGCAAATATTTTAAAGAAAAATTATTTAAAGATTCTTCCCTTACTACTAAATATAGGTATATTTTCAGTATAGTTTACAATCTTTGTACTCTTCCCTTTAAAGACCTCTTCCATTTTGACACTTTCAATGATACCACCAAAATAACTATCTAGCCCTGACTTCACTCCCAAGATCAGACCCACATGTCCAAATATCTATTAGACTAATTTCTACTCAAATATCCTGCTGTCATCTGCAATTCAACATGTCCAAACATAAACTAATCTTATACAAGAAAGCAACTCACCCAGCTGACTTCCTAGTTCTGTTAATAATACCGCTATTTTCCCAGTCACAGGGGATCAAATTATTGAAGTCATATTGGATTCTGATCCTTTCTAAACCTTATGACTGTTTTTTCCATTTTTCCTTTCATTCCAATTCCCATTGATAACACTTTGGCTTAGGTCCTTATTGTCTACTCCTAGACAACTACAGGTTTCTTTGGTGATCTTTTTGCCTCCTTCCCCCAACTTGAGTCAATACTGCACATCATTATTTCACTTCCCTAACTCAAAAATCTTTGGTGGCGTCTTCTTGCCAAGAGTTTGAAATCCAAACTCCTTTCTCTTTTATTCAGGATCCTCCATAATCTGGCCCTAATCTGCTTTCTTTATCTAAACTCTTCTGTATAAATTCTCCATTTCTACAAAACTTCTAGCACACAACTTTCTGATTTTTGTTATTTTTCCCCCTTTATTTGTAATGAGCTTTCTCCCCTCTTTCCAAATCTTTTTTTTTTTTTTTTTTTTTTTTTTTTTTTTTTGAGACAGAGCCTCAAGCTGTCCCCCTGGGTAGAGTGCCATGGCATTACAGCTCACAGCAACCTCCAACTCCTGGGCTCAAGCGAGTCTCCTGCCTCAGCCTCCCAAGTAGCTGGGACCACAGGCGCCCGCCACAACGCCCGGCTATTTTTTGGTTGCAGCCATCATTGTTGTTTGGCGGGTCCGGGCTGGGGATTCGAACCCGCCACCTTAGGTGTACGTGGCTGGCGCCTTAGCCGGTTGAGCTATAGGCGCCGAGCCCCAAATCTTATTTTTAAAGTAGATCTAATTCTGAGCACCAGGATGGAAGTGATCTTTTCTGCATTTGAACTCCTCTATGTGTGTATGCTACACACCTGAAGTCCTCTAGCACTAGCACTTTATGCACATATTATTAACATTCATGGATGTACTACATGGATGCACACACCACACTGTGTTTTCCATCACTCATATACTTCCCTGTACTGTTAGTCATCTATTCACTTGTGTATATTTACCTTATCTCTTCAGCTACACAATAAACTACTTGAGGCCATGTATCAGTATTTTACTACCTTGTATCTTTTGCAGCAACTAGCTCGGGTCTTTCACATAGCAAGAGTTTGATAATCACTTAATAAACATAAGTAAGCATCAATCAGATCAAGAAAAGCCTAACTTCTTTCTGATTCTGAATAGTAATGAAAAACTGATTTTAGGTTTGGCACCGGTAGCTCAAAAAGAAAAAAAGAAAAACTGTTTTTAAAGGACTTTATATATAAATAACATTTTTTTTTTTTTTTGAGACAGAGTCTCACCGTGTCACCCTTGGTAGAGTATTGTGGCGTCACACCTCACAGCAACCTCAAACTCTCACGCTTAAGTGATTCTTTTGCCTCAGCCTCCCAAGTAGCTGGGACTATAGGTGCCGGCCACAACACCCAGCTATTTTTTGGTTGTAGTTGTCGTTGTTTGGCAGGCCCAGGCTGGGTTTGAACCCACTAGCTCCGGTGTATATGGCTGGAACCCTAGTCGCTGAGCTATAAGCATCAACCCACAAATAACAATTCTTAGAACTCCTGAAACTTATAATTCATTTGAAATGCTGGTAATGCAGTTTATTTTGTCCAAATCCTTTCCTAGTAAGCCTCAATCTAAATTAGATAGACAGCATAGTTAACTTGAAGAGTATTTAGTAAACTCATTGTGAACTAAAGAAAAAACTTGTTTGGACTGACTACTGCTAAGAAGCTACATTTTAAAAAACTTTATAGTTTGAAAATACTTCTCAAATCTTTTCTCCTATAATATCATAGAAAAATAACTATTTTTTGGAAACAATTTTTCAAATTTGAAACAATGTGAAACAATTATTCATGAGATTATTCAATTATTTATGAGATTAAGGGACCTGGGAATCCTTTACCTCTGGTATGCTAACTAAACTGTTTATAAAGATATACATTTAAATAACAGTATTAATAACCAGTTCCTTTAACACAGAGTTCCTATTCTTTAGGACCTTACAAGTTAAGGTAAATAACCAATATAGAGGGAAAAGATGAAATTATTATAATATATATTTATATAGTTAATAATATATAATAAATGAATACAAAACTAAACTATTCAGGCAATTTGAATTACTTAAATAAATCTTCCAAGGCCAGGTGCAGTGGCTCATGCCTGTAATCCTAGCACTCTAGGAGGCTGAGGCAGGAGAACTGCTTGAGGTCAGGAGCTTGAGACCAGCCTGAGCAAAAGGAAGACCCTGTTTCCACCAAAAATAGAAAAATTAGCTGAGCATGATGGCAGGAGCCTATAATCCCAGCTATTCAGGAGACTAGGGAGGAGGATTGCTTGAGTCCAGGAGTCTGAGAATGCTGTGAGCTAGGCTGAGGCCATGCCACTTTAGCCTGGCAACAAAGTGAAATTCTGTCTTAAAAAACAAAACAATATGAAAAACTTACAAACATAGGATATTGATAATCAATGCTAACAGCATGAAATGTTAGAAATAAACATATGGTGTTAATCAACAAAATAAAAGCATAAAATACTAAGGTAAGTAAAGCATAAAATAGAAAGGTAAGCTGATAACACATAGACAGTGACTTCAGCTGTTGGATTAAAAACAAAATAATCTAAGGCCGGGCACAGGGGCTCACGCCTGTAATCCTAGCACTCTGGGAGGCCGAGGCAGGTAGACTGCCTAAGCTCACAAGTTTGAGTCCAGCCCAAACAACAGCGAGACCCTGTCTCTAAAAAGGTAGCCAGGTGTTGTGGTGGGTGCCTGTAGTCCTATCTACTAGGGAGACTGAGGCAAGAGAACTGAGTGAGAATTGCGTGAGGTTGCTGTGAGCTGTGACACCATGGTACTCTACCAAGGGTGACAAAGTGAAATTCTGTTTCAAAAAAACAAAACAAAATAATCTGAATGTATACAAAATAATACATACTTATTCGTTCAACAAATAGTGAGTGGGTAGCCTGTCTCAGACATTGTGCTAGGTGCTAGTATATGAAGGTAGGATCTAGTTTTTGCAATTTATTAGAAAAAGGAGGAACTAAATAATTATACAAATAAATCTTTAAATTACAGTTGTGATAGTGCCATAAAAATTATAGGACGTTAGGAAGGAATGTAATAAGAATCTAACATTTTACTTTCCAATGAGCTTAGAAATATGTGTACTTTTTACATATGTATGTATGTAAAAATGGCACTTTATGTGAGATTAAAAACTTTAGTCCCCTTCCACCTAAAATCTTGTACATGAATACTCATATGAGTACTATCCATAACAGTCAAAAAGTAAAAACAACCCAAATGTTCATCAACTTATAAATGCATTTTTAAAATGTGGTATATCTATACAGTAGAATCTTATTCTGCAATAACTACAGGATGGACCTTGAAAACACGCCAAGTGCAAGAAACCTAGTGCAAAGGACTACATACTTAGTACATGATTCCACTTACATGAAATGTCCAGAATAGGTAAATCCAGAGACAGAAGATAGAATAGTGGTTGCCTCAGGTTGCTTGGAAGTTTGGGGGTAATGGGCTTTTTTGGGGGGGGGAAGTAATAAAAATGTTCTATAACTGATGTGGTAACAGTTTTATAATTTCTATAAATGTACTCAAAATCAGTAAATTGTACATTTTCAATAGGTGGACTATATATGAACTGTATTTCAATAAAGCTTATCTTTTTTCTTTTTTTTTTTTGAGACAGAGCCTCAGGCTGTCTCCCTTGGTAGAGTACTGTGGCATCATAGCTCACAGCAATCTCCAACTCCTGGGCTCAAGTGATTCTCCTGCCTCCCCCTCCCAAGTAGCTGGGACCACAGGCCCCCACCACAGAGTCTGGCTATTTTTTGTTTGCAGCCATCATTGTTGTTTGGTGGGCCCGGGCTGGATTCGAACCCATCAGCTCAGGTGTATGTAGCTGGCGCCTTAGCCGCTTGAGCCACAGGCACCAAGCCATAAAGCTTATCTTTTAAAAAAGATCCCTTGGGAAGGAAAAGGAGGTTCCCAAGGGCTTAATCCCCTCCATGGGGGAACCCTGAGATTTCTCTGTGGTCTTTGTATCTAACTCAACCTTCTGCACTGGCAGTCAACTTACCCCAAAGCCCAGGAGAGTTTTCAGTGTCTTGTAGGATCTGCAGTTTCCTAATGTGTTCATTTACCATTGACCTCATATCTCTTTTCCCATGCCATGTTAATTCTGAGATAATATATTCAGAATAATAATCAGAAATGGTTACTGCTTTAACCTAGTAAGCTTGTTTTCTAAAACTGAACAAATTTTACCTGAATAGAAAATCAAAATTTAGGATAGAAGCTTGAGTTTTTATAGAGAAATGCTTCATCTAAAGGTTTTTGAAATAAATCTAAGACTAGGGGTGAAATTCCCAATATGGGGCCACACTTGATAAGAAATATATACATTCTCTCTTCCCCCACAACTGTGTTCAGGAGTCTAATGAGACTTCACCACCAAGAAACAAAACTAGTCATGATCTGCAAAAAGAAGGTGTACAGGGGACATATGTGCTTATGGTACAAAATACCCAAGTCACACAGAAATGTATACGGACATACTAAAAAACTTTTGAAACCCACCACTCTGAGATTAATTAAGACAATTTAAAAAACCAATTTCATATGGTTCAACCTATTGTATGTACATGCCAATTATTTGGGGGGCACCCTATTCTCCCTCTATAGTCTTTTATCTCTTATCAACTTCTCTACTCTACATCCTAAGATACCACTAATGCAAATCTTTCTTCTGGCTCTTAAAATTTAGCTTAACTCAGAGCTTCTGGAATAGAAAAGTTACTTTTCTTCTCAATGGATATGAAAAAGAAAGCAAGATGCCCTAGTTGCTGCTGGAAGTAATTTTTGACAGTTGGAAATTAACATTAGGATAAAGCGAATAATGCCATGGACACAAGGAATAAGAGAATGGACCTGGGTCCCTAATGACATGATTGAATCTTAAGTAAGGCAACTCTGAAGTTTGCCTTACTTCTAGATTTCCAGTTACACTGAATATTTTCCTGTTAAATCAACCGAATTGGGTTTCTCCTACTTGCACTCAAAAGTGTCTACCTCATACAGTATTGTATATACTTCCGGAGTTTGTTTTATTCTCTTAAAAATAATAGATTATAAGCCTTTCAAGTTAACTGAATAGCTGCTCTACTCACCTTTTTCACGGCTATTTAATTATTCCCAATATGCACCTATTCTTTCCTTTTCATTGCTTGCTAGTTACTTTGTCATTTGTTTTGATTTACTCTTTGATCTAAGGATTATTTACTAGAGTGTCCCTTAATTTTTAACTTTATAATTTATTTGTATATCATCCTATATTTTCCAAACTCTTTAAAAAGAGCACATGGTACTTTTATAACTAAAGCAAAATAATACATTTTTAGATGAAAAACTTATTATTTTTGAGAAAGGAATGCAATCGGAATCCACCTCACCCCAAATAGCAGCCAGTTGTTCCAATAGTACTTAGTAAATAGTCTGTACCTGCCCAGGATTTTATTGTATTTGTTATATACTGACTTTCCTCATATATGTGTGTTATTTCTGGACTCTATTCTGTACCACTGACATCTTGAAATTTCCTTTCCAATACCACTAGAATAAGTCTGGTAACTTGAAAATATTTTTAAAATATCTAGTAGAATTGGACTTCTCTCATTTCTCTTTCCCCCCACAATTTTCTCAGTTAATCTCACATTGACTTTTATTTTATTTTATTTATTTATTTATTTATTTTTTTTAAGACAGAGCCTCAAGCTGTCACCCTGGGTAGAGTACTGTGGCATCACAGCTCACAGTAACCTCCAACTCCTGGGCTCAAGCGATTCTCCTGCCTCTGTCTCCCAAGTAACTGGGACTACAGGCGCCTGCCACAACACTCCGCTATTTTTTTGGTTGCAGCCGTCATTGCTGTTTGGCAGGCCCAGCCTGGATTCGAACCCATCAGCTCAGGTGTATGTGGCTGGTGCCTTAGCCGCTTGAGCCACAGGCGCCAAGCCCTCACACTGATTTTACATAATGACTTTGGTAGCATTTTTTCTTTGTTATGAGATAGTCTCACTCTGTTGCCCAGGCTAAAGTGCAGTTCAAGTGTACTTTGAACCCACAGCAACCTCAAACTCGTGGGTTCAAGCAATCTTCCTGCCACAACCTCCTGAGTAGCTGAGACTACTAGTGCCTGCCACAATGCCTGGCTAATTTTTCCACTTTTTAGGAAAGATACAGTCTTACTCTTGCCCAGGCTGGTCTGGAACTCTTGAGCTCAAGGGGTCCTCCCACCTCAGCTTCCCAGAGTGCTAGGACTCCAGGTGTGAACCACCACAACTGACCTTTGATACTTTTTTATCATGCTTTGAAAAAAAAAAAACTTTATTGGTATTTTAATTGGAACTGAATTACATTTGTAGACTATTTTATTTAATTGATAACTTTACAATATGTAGTGATCCTACTGGGAAAGTATATCTTTCCATTTGCCTAAGTAATTTTATGTCCCTTCATAGATTTTTGAGACTTTTTCTTCATATAGGTCCTACTTATTTCATATTAAGTTTAAGCCTAGGCACTTGGCTATAATTTAGATATAATAAAGCTATTAATTTATGTGCATAAATTTTGCATTATTGAATATTCTTAATGTTTCTAATAGATATTCAATTAATTCTCTTTGGGTTTCCAGGTAAACAATAGCATCATTAATAAATGACTATTTTGCCTTCCCCTTTCTAATATTTTACATTTTATTTCTTTCTCTTGTCTAATTGCATTGGCTAATAAATTTAGAACAGTGTTAAATAAAAGTGACAATGGGCATTTTGAGCCACTTCGAGTGTTGCACCATTAGACACAGTAAAATTACAAAAGTGAGCTGACTTAGTCAGCTCAGTATATAACCTAGAGGCTTTTTCTTTTACCAGTTGACATACAGCTGACACTCAATAAATGCGGACTTTCAGTGAATGCTATATTAATACTTACATACACACAGATATTTTAGTACAGGATCATGCTAAAGAGAAATAAAAATACTAATAAATATTTACCGAGCATTATTTGTGTGTAGGGCACTGACACTCCAATTAACATCTCTTTCCCATTTAGACCTTAGCTGGAGTTTAACTAATTCATTGTATGACAGCATACATTGAAAGAAAGAGCACTGCAGTGGGAGTATGATGGCTCAGGTTCTAATCCTATCTCTGTCACTGATGTGAGGACCTTGGGAGGTTCTCTACTAACAGCTTCCACTTCTACTTCCATCCACTCTCTCCACAGAGCACATATGGATGAAGAAGAGGCAGTCTCAGAATTCAGTTGGGGAAAGGCCTGGGTCACCTCTGGCCCTCTCTCCTCCCCTACTAACAGACAGCTTATAGCTGATACCCAGGAGATGGAGCAGAGAAGGGCACTGAGAGAGGGCTTCTTTGAGAGAATGGATGTGGGACTACCACCAGAAATAAAAAACAAAACAAAATAACGCAGGAACCTTGCCAACCACTGCACGCCCCCTGTGATACACGTCAGCTTCAGTTATGCTCTCTTAATGATGGGGATGTAGATTCTGGGCAGTTGAACACCATTTCACTAATCTCAAACCCTCACACTCACCCCACGAAGTTCCCTCGGCTTCCAAACACTGCTGCGGGGAACAAAACTTATTCTTCCCTATTAGGTCCTGTATGGGTCACCTAGAACGCAGGCGTGATACCACCTGACATTAGGAACTGGGCCTCCTTACTCTCTGTGGGGTACATCCAAGGGCTAGAGGCCACCCCCGACACCTGCCAGAGAGTGACGTCGGAGGAGGAGAGGGCAACCCAAAGGTCAAAAAGGTCGGACAGTTCTCGCTGAGCCGCAGCCCCTCGGAGGAAACTTGGGCCTGCTCGGGGGCGGGGAGGAGGCTGGGTCCCCGGCTGTTGAGTGGCCGTCCTGCCAGCCAATGGGCACGTCGCCCCGTCGCGCGGAGTCCCGCCCCTCCGCCGCGCAGTACTCACTTTTCCCACTTCGGCGTTGCCCATGGAGATGACTTTGATGCGGAGGGACTTGCTGGGCTCCTTCCGCTTTGGCATGTTGGCCTCCATTGCCCTCGCTCTCCCGGGGCCAACCGCCTCGCTCTCTCCTTGTGCGTTGCTGGCCCGTCCCTCAGGCCTCCTCGTCCAATGGCGGAACCGCTGCTCTCGTCACCACCTCGGCTCCGCGGCTCGCCATCCCCGCCGCTGCCGGGCAGCAGGCGCGGGCGGTTGGGAGCGCCGGGAGCCGGGGGAGGGAGACGGCAGTCTCGCGATGCTAGGGCGGGGCGGTGACGTCATCGCCTGTCCCCGAAGTCGAGGCTCGAATTACCTGTTCCCTGGGGTCGCGTGACGATCGCAGAAAGTGTCCCTTGGCCTAGAAGACGTTAGGCTAGGGAAGGGCTTACAGTTCGGGGAGAGCGCGGCCTTGTTTTTAGTGGTAGAAGGACGGGGCGTTTGTTGTATTTGCAGCCAAATAGTAGGTATTTGTTGGCTCTTCAAGGCAGGTCTAGTGGCATCTGGACTTACGGTTTAGTTCAAGGCCCGGCCATGCCATGGTCCCTTAAGGGGTGTTATTTTCTGGATCCTTTTTTTGGTCCCATGGTTCGGTCTGCTGCCCCTCTTCCTCTCTAGTATTGTGTTCCCCTTGCTCCAGTTGCATGACAGCAGAGTCAGGAGCCAGGGAAGTGAGGAAGTCCGAAAGGGGGGTTTTGTTTAGACTTTGCTCCTTTATTACAGAGTTCTGATTGATTGGGATTAGTTGACTCATCTGTAGGAGGCAGACCCACACTACTGTAGATGCTTCTTAGCATTCTTGTCCAGCTCTGTTAAGGTGCAGGATTGTAGCTGTAAGCGCCTTCATTTTCCTCGCCTGCCTGCTGTTCACATACAAACTTAACCTTGTGTTCTGTTCTCTTTAGCTGACAACCTGACAGTAGAAGAATAATGAATACTAAGATAACCACTTTCCTTGTTCCAGAAGATGAGAAAAACAGCTGTTTGAATAAAAGCCAGTCTGATAAGATAGTAATTTCTCAAGTCAATATCTTCTGTTACAGAAGATAAATAGAACTTGACAATGATTAGAGTTAGCCCTGAAAAAGAATTGCTGCCAATTCCCTAGTAAATTACAAAGGCAAAGGTAGCATTGCTTCTGTTCTCATAACTTTTAGACATCTTAAAAAAAAATACATTACAGGAAGACTTTTGAACAATTTTAAAATATTAAAGTTTTTTAAAAGAAAAAATATGGATTGTTTTCATAATACAAAAACAACATAATTAAGCTTCTAAAATTCTTTTCCAATATGAAATATAAATCTTGATTAGAATTTTGATAGCTTAAAACTTAAAAGAATTGGATTTATACTATGATTCTTCACAAATCTTGATACCAACCTCTTGATATGATTTAATAAACCACTAAACTAATTTTGAGAGTTTACCATTGACCTTGTCATAGAGTTGATATTGTGCAAGAATAATGGCAAAATGTCGAATCTTCAACTGTTAGGTATGGTACTATTGAGAGCAATAAAAATGCCAAAGATTAAATTTTATTACTATTTTTTTTCATATTGGTGTATTTGGTACTTTAATATGCATGATTCTATTATATCATACTCTTTCCAGTCTTTGACTATAAGAAGAAGAAAGAGCAGCATGAGTTAGTTGTATAGAGTAGGGGCCTGGGAGATAAAGTGTGAGCGTGAGTTCTGGAGTCAGCTCTGTCAGGCTTTATGTTGGCTTGGCATAGGCATGTGGCAGTAGTAAGGATTGCAGGAGATATGCACACAAAGTTCATAGTAATGCATAGTAACCTCCTGATAAGCAGTACTTGCATGCTTTAATTATATTTTCAATTTTTTGTTTTTGAGATAGATTCTCACTGTGTCACCCTTGTTAGAGTGCTATAGCGTCATAGCTCACAGCAACCTCAAACTCCTGACTCCAGGGCTTAATTGATTCTCTTACTTCAGCCTCCTAAGTAGCTGAGAGTACAGGTGAGATGGGTGCCAGCAGCCTCATCACCCCCATAAGACGGATGCCAGCAGCCTCACGATGGCCTCACAGCAGCCCCCTGGGTGGAGGAAGTGGAACAAGAGGTAAATGAAATGATGCCAAGTACCCGGATTGGGCCAGGACAGAACTAGATAAGAACTAATAAGCCAAGTACTGTCACGATGAGGGTTAACAAGCTAAGTGCTGTGACAAATTGTTGTATTTATTCGCTAATTGCCATATCTGTTTTATGTGACCTTTATGTTACCTATCCGCTAATCTGCTAAATTGCAAGGTTCACTTCTGTAAAAGGGGTCATCGTGACCCGTGCTTGCTTTCTGTTTCTTTTGCCAATTCCTTTTTGCTTCTAATTGCTAACTTTCAGCCCACCTGTTTGGCCCTTTTCCAACTTTCAGACTGGAAAAACCCCAACATCAGACCCCTCAATGCTCTCTCAGTCTGCTTTAGATTTTGCTGAGACAGCCCCAGGGTTAATAAAAGACTCCTTTTTGAAATTCTAATTTGAATCAGTGGTCCTTATCTCGCCCCATAACATAGGTGCCTGCCACAGTGCCTGGCTATTTTTAGAGATGAGGTCTCACTCTGGCTCAGGCTGGTCTAGAAACTGTGAGCTAAGGAAATCCACCCACCTTGGGCTCCCAAGTGCTGGGATTACAGGTGTGAGCCACCATGCCTGGCCAATATTTTCATTTTTTATATATTAAGAAAGATTCTGCACACACACATATATATAGAGAGAGATTCTGCACACACACACATATATATGTAGAGCAGGTGTCCTTAAACTATGGCCTTCAGACCACATGCCGCCTGCCGGGTGTTTTTGTCACTGCTGCCTGTCCTGCTTAGTAGCCGACTCGTCCCGGAGCCCACAGTCCAGCCCTCCAACGGTATGAGGGACAGTGAACTGGCCCCCTGTTTAAAAAGTTTGAGGACCCCTGAGATAGAACGTCAAGCTGTTGCCCTGGGTAGAGTGCCAGGGTGTCACAGCTCACAGCAACCTCAAACTTTTGAGCTTAAGTAATTCTCTTGCCTCAGTCTCCCAAGTAGCTGGAACTACAGGCACCTACCATAACTCCCGGCTATTTTTTTTTCCCCCTTTGCAGGAAAACATTTTATTTCAGAGACAGCAGCATGTTGAACGTCTGTACAAAGAGGGGACCCTTGTGTGGAAGGCAGTACTGTTTGATACATGAGAGACAGTAAGTTGAGGAGCCACTGTAACAGGGGACAGATTATGTACCCCCAGGGCACAAAAGTAGGCTGTAGTTTTCAAGGAGAGTGAAATCACCATCTCTGGGGCCAGAAGGGCATAATCTTGGACAACTCTCAGGAGGGTCTACAAGAAATTAAGATTCAATATAGTCGCCCACTAACTCAAACAACTATAAAGACCTGATACGAAATGATTCACCTTTTATTAATTAGCACCTTAGACGAAACCAAGAAGATAGATGAGGTAGTAGAGCCAGGATAACTCCCAAATACACACAAAGGAACAAAGGCAGACAGGGCTCAGGAAGCCATCTGAGCCCAGGGGGGCAGCACCCTCTGGGAATGGGCCTGGACCCAAAGGTGCTCCAGGATCTGGGCCGGGGCAGCGCTCCTGAGGCTTGTATCAGAGAAACTTGGAGATCAGGTCCTGGGCCCCCAAAGGCATCGTTTGGGGGACCTCTCACATCTACCTTGAGGATGCACCTGTAGATCTCATTGTAGGAGGTGCTCTCAAAGCGGGGATTTCCCACCAACAGCTCATAGCAGAGTACCCCAATGCACCACAGGTCCACCTTTTCATCATATGTCCTCCCCTCAACCATTTCTAGGGCAAGTAGTCAAGTGTTCCACACATTGTCTTTCTCCTCAGAGAGGGAGTGTGCACAGGCCAGCCAAAATCTGCAATCTTCACCTCACCCCTGAAACCCAGAAGCAGGTTTTCTGGCTTAATATCCCTGTGATGACTTTCTTGTCATGGCAGTAAGTCAGGGCATCTGCCGACTCCTCCATTACTGTGGCTGTTTGCTGCTCATCAAATGTGTGGTTTTTCTGCAGGTCTTTGTACAGCTCACCCCTTGGAGCATATTCCAGAATCACATACACATGGGGAGCATCACAGAAGGAATTGAACAGCCTTAGGATATTGGGGTGTTGCAGATGCGCCTGGATTTCAGTTTGCCTGTGCAGCTGGTGCTCCAGTCCTTCTCTATCTGTGACTTGAAAAGAACCTTTCGGGCCACAATGAAATGGCTTTCCTTGAGCCGATCCAGGTATACATTTCCAAATTTCCCCTTGCCCAGAGGGCACCCAATTTCAAAGTCATCAATCATGAGTCGCCTCTCTTGTCACCTGTGGGCTCAGCTCTGCCCGCCTGAATTGTGGACTTCGGGCAGCTCACGAGGTGAGAGGTGAGAGTTGAGAGCATCTGACACCTTCTGGAGCCCTTTGGAACTGGGACCTCATGTTCAGCAGATCCTGGAAAGGGGTTGAGGGACATGAAGCCCAGGCCGAGGCTCTTCCAATTCGCTGGCTCCCGCAGCCTCGTGTGTGTGGGGGGCCAAACAAGGCCTGCTAGCTTCAAAATCTTACACGTCATGCCTGTTTTTTTGATTGTAGTTGTCATTGTTTAGCAGACCTGGGCTGGGTTTGAACCTGCCAGACCTGGTGCATGTGGCTGGTGTCCTAGCCACTGAGCTATGGGCACTGAGCCAAATTCAACATATTTTAAATGTATATTTTTAAAAAGCAAATTGTGAAATACTTTGGACATACTAAACATATAAAGAACAACATAATGAATATCTGTGAATACACTGCCCATTTAGGCCATTAAATATCACCAATACTGTATGTACCTTTCCCTAGACCTCCCTTTCTACGAAAGGTTACAACCAATGAAAGCATCTGAATTGGTGCTTTAATTTTAAGGTATTTAAAATTGTTTTACAACATATAACACACACACACACTTAAAATGTACTACTGCATTTCATCTTTCAAAACTATTTTGGGCCAGGTGTGATGGTTCACTCCTATAATCCCAGCACTACGGGAGACCGAGACAGGTGGATTGATTGAGGAGTTCTAGACCAGCCTGAGCAAGAGCAAAACCTCCGTGTCTACTAAAAATAACAAAACTAGCCAGGCATTGTGGTGGGCACCGGTAGTCCCAGCTACTCAAGAGGCTGATGCAAGAGTTTGAGGTTGCTGTGAGCTATGACACCACAGCACTCAACCCCAGGACAA